CCCGTGTTTACTTGAACATTCTGGATATTTCTTTGCTAATTTAAATATATAGGCGCTGCAAGATGCGATCGGGCAGTGTTGATTTGGGCGAAACAAGCGAAGCTTCGGAGTGGAATTAAGTGAATTAGTGTGTTTAATTATTAGTGTCTTTAGTTTTAATTTGCGTAAAGTAAATTAAAGTGTTAATTTAGGTAATTTTATCGGCAATTTTTATTGTCACGAACCTCAAGCTCGTAACAATTGGTGTCAGAAGTGGGATAAAATCATGCCGATTTTACCTAAGGAGGAAACGGAGGGTGTCCGTACCCGAAGTCAACGCCAGCAGGAGACGGACCAAAGAAGATTTGGTGGTGCAACGCCGCAGACGTCGGAGGGCCAGCCACTGGCTGAAGGCCCGTCGGTAGCTCCTACATCTGCAGCACCTGACTTAGGTGCTCTGATGGTGATGCTGCAGGAGCAGGCTCGCCGACAGGAGGAGCAGGCCCGCCGATTGGAAGAGCAGCTGCGGGGCGGACAGGAGGAACAGGCCCGCCGACAGGAGGAACAGGCCCGTCGTTTAGAAGAGCAACTCCAACGCGATAAGGAAGAGCAGATGCTCCTCATGAAGGACCTTCACGCTATCTTCGGAAAAGAGATACGGGAGGTGAAGGATAAGGTTGCTCAACATGACAACCGCCTGTCGGAGGCCGAAACCCGAATCGACCAAGTAAACAATCGGGTTGACAACGTAATGGCTGACGTGAAGAAAACGCTGGACGACCTCAAACTTGGGGATGGAACAACAGCTCTCGTAGTAGCTACAACACCTTCGCTACGTGGATTCAAAGTGCCGCCGTTCGACGGGACCTCTTCCTGGTCGTCCTACAAAATCCAGTTCGAGGCTGTTATGAAGGCGAACGGCTGGAATAAAAGTCAGGCCATGACTGCTCTCACACTAGGCCTGCGCGATCAGGCCTTAACAGTTCTGGAAGCTCTCGGTGAGGAAGTGACTTATGAGCAACTCCTTGAGGCATTGGAGGCGAGATATGGCGACGCTCACCTGGAACACGTCTTTCGTGCGCAGCTTAAAGATCGTGTGCAGCGCATCAACGAAAAGCTGCAGCAGTGGGCTCTAGAGGTGGAGAAGCTGGTGCGAAAAGCTTACCGGTCTGTACCTGCGCTCATTAAAGGGAACCTGGTGCAGACATTTATCGACGGCATCCGTGACCTGGAAGTCAGAGCTGCTGTGAGGCTCGGGCACCACGAGACGCTTAAGGACGCCTTGGCCCATGCACTGGAGGTAGAAGCCGTGCGGCAGGATCATCGTTCCCATCGCGTCAGGGAGGTTGCAGCCGCTACAGTTCGCGACCGCAACAAAGGATACAGCCCTAGGTGCTATGGCTGTGGGGAAAAGGGCCATCTTCGATCCAGCTGCCCTAAACGAACCGTGGAAAGGAGAGTTGATCGATCTCGAGAGGGTAGTGCAGCTAACGGCACTGCCTGGCGGCGACAGGATCATCGTTCACCTCACGCTAGGGAGGTTACAGCAGTTACGGTTCGCGACCACAATAAAAGATACAGCCCTAGGTGCTATGGCTGTGGGGAAAGGGGCCATCTTCGGTCCAGCTGCCCTAAGCACACCCTAGGAAGGGAAGGTGAACGGTCTCAGAAAGGAAGTGCGGCTAACAGCACCGCCCAGCAGCAGCAGGAATACGACTTTACTATCAGACACTGCAGCGGGAAATCTCACGGCAACGCAGATGCATTGTCAAGAAGACCTTGTCCTGAAGATTGCAACCATTGTAGTAGGCAAGAGAGTAAGGAGGTGGTATCCGTGAGGATGCTCAGGACGGACCACCTCAGCAACGAATGGAAGGACAACCTACGACATGCACAGCAGGAAGATCCGGACATCAAGCCGATTCTGGGATGGATGAAGGCCCGTGCTACCAAGCCTAAGTGGAGGGACGTCTCAGCGATGAGTTCAACCACGAAAAGCTATTGGGCCCAATGGGACAGGTTGCTGATTCAGGATGGAGTCCTGTGCCGGAAATGGGACAATGGTCGAAGAGACAGCTGTCGTTTGCAAATGGTTGTCCCTAAAGCTAAAGTGCCGAATGTTCTACAGTTGTGCCATAATGGTCGTTCAATAGTCCATCTGGGAGTTAAACGAACTCTACTGAAGGTCCGAGAACAGTTTTACTGGGTCCATTATCGTGACGATGTCGAGGATTGGTGTCGTACATGTACAAGTTGTGCGGCCGAGCGGGGACCTCGGACACGTAGTAGAGGAGCACCGAAATTGTACAATGTTGGTGCACCACGGGATAGGACAACCCTTGACATTGCGGAGCCGTTACAGAAAGGCGCAAGAGGGACTCTTAAGATCGTCCATGTGAATCGCTTGGCGCGTTATTATGGGGCCGATAATGCTCGGGACGAGCATGTCTTAGGAGGGGGCAGTGTTACGCGCTCCAGTCAACGATACACTAGCGCCATCTAGTGTCAGGAACGAGAGCGAGGGGAGCATTGAGAAAATGACATCACAAATTACTCAACCGACAGCGCCTAGTCGAAACTCGAACGCTCGGTACCTTGCCCGTGTTTACTTGAACATTCTGGATATTTCTTTGCTAATTTAAATATATAGGCGCTGCAAGATGCGATCGAGCAGTGTTGATTTGGGCGAAACAAGCGAAGCTTCGGAGTGGAATTAAGTGAATTAGTGTGTTTAATTATTAGTGTCTTTAGTTTTAATTTGCGTAAAGTAAATTAAAGTGTTAATTTAGGTAATTTTATCGGCAATTTTTATTGTCACGAACCTCAAGCTCGTAACAATATTATGACTAGTTTTTATTTTAGGGTCGGTGATTAATAATAATTTTTTAAACTTCCCGCTATGAAAATCAATGACTTAAAAAGTTTCACCCCGGTGTTCGAAAATCGAGTTCTCATCAGGGCTTCACGTTTTGAGATCCTAAGAAGCCGTTCTATTTGTCGTGCGTGCATGCGAGTTTGTTTGTGTGGGTGTTTATTTGTTTGGGTGTTTGTTTGTGTGCATGTTTGTGCGTGCGTGTGTGTATATGTAACCCTCTCATAACTTTTGAATAGCTTGACTGATGTGAATGTACTCGGCGGCGTTCGAAAGGACTTCACCAAACTTAGATTTTCTATAAAACTTGAACAGATTTGGACCACTACGCTTTTGAGCTCATAATAGATGGAATTTGAAGCGCTTTGCATTTGAAATTAGCGGGAAGTTCCAGGGATGTCTTGTAGGGTCAACCGTATTTTTTTTAAATTAAAATACTAGTAAATCCTATTACTTAACACTACTAATATTCTTTTTAACCACTCCTGGCAAACTTAAAATGCTTGTGTTAGGAGTGATTCACGACAGTAGTGGAATGGCGGATTTGAAACTACGACCTTTTGAGTTCGCGGTCCCGTTGTTAAGGCATCTGTTTAGAGATCGGATAATTTATTAACGACGACTGAAAGAGGTCATAGATCCAATATATTTGTTTTGTCTTGGCGATGATTCATATAGCTATACTAAGATCCGATAGGTAGCGCCGTAGCATAAGTTATAAACAAATTATATTTTAGCTACCAAAATTACTAATGGGTATCCACAATTTATGTTAGGTTATTGCCAAACATTGAAATCATAAAATCTGGACGGAATGGTGAGAACTAAAAACGATAGATACTTCGAGATTACTTTATTCGAAAGTAATAAATATATTTAATGTAAGTATTAGGTATTCAGAAATAGTGAGAGGTTAACATTAATAATATTGTAATAATAATTTCCTATACTTAAATGATATACTTTATGCATTTTTATGTTGTACTCGTATTTGCAATATGGTAATCATCACCGGTTCCGATTTGAAAGAAAAGAAAGGAAATGAAGAAAGATACTTCAAGTTACTTTCGTCTTGTAGACTTAATTTTGTCCTCTATCTCAATTATATTTTTACATTTTGATTCTCTTACAAGTTTATAATATTTAAATTTAGGTTTAAAATAATCCTTACCTTATCAATATATTGTAAAGGCATTGTACATAACATACATTGTCCATGGACAAACATCAAGATCCGGAACAATTTTTTGAAAACCATAGGAATTTTAGTTACGTTCAGAAGTTGATCCTGCGCCATTAAGTCGTAAAGCTAGTATATATAGCATAATATGTATACTGATTAGCTTTTTATCTGATATATTTTTGTTGGCCTGGTATTTAAATCTCGAATCACGATGACAATAAAACTAAGTACAGACACGAATCGAATCGAGTTTATCCTCGATTTGCCCTATTTGCTTTACTGATGCCATGTTGCGTAAAATGAGGTTAGACTGGCGCGGTGTTGTACCTGCTAGTCATCACTGTGTCTCCATTGAAGAAGTCAAAATGTACCAAAAAAGGCACGTATGTCAATTTCCAGTGCTGTATTAACTTATCTGTTAATACAGGAGGACATTTCAGGAGGTAAGAATATGTAGATACAAACTTGGATGGGTTTTCATGGTCTTCGGGTAATCAAATCATCGTGTAACATTTCCACCAAGAAGGAGGAAGATATGGATAAGTTACTACCTAATGGATGGTAGTGAAAGTTGGGTGTGGCAGAAGAAACACGAGAGTAGAATAAATGCTGTAGAAATGCTTTTATTAAGTAGTATGTTAGGGCTGAATCTGAATGACAGAATGAGGAAAAAGTGACAAAGCAAATTTATGTTGCAGTAATGAACAACAGAGCTGGCAAGGGACGCCCTAGAACCCTAGATGATTATCGTTTATCGACCAAATTGGCGATAACTGGCTGGAAGATGGGCCAGATTTAGAGAACCCTTAACCTACGCGCACGCATGCATAGATATATGGATGTAAAGGAGGCGAGAGGAGTGTGTCTGGATCGTGCCAAATGGAAAGTCCGTATTCTCTGAGTGACAGCGTGATTGTTTATATTTACGTTTATGGTCATAGCATGACGTGTATCGTTTGCCGGCAGTGACGGAGAATTTCCTTTCGACTCCTCTCTCGCTGTCGGCGCTGGGCGCGCTTACGCCGCCGCCCCATTCGCCGTACTCCTCGCCCTACTCGCCCTACTCGCCGCTGCCGTTCGATCTGCTCGCCTGCTCGCAGCGGCTGCTACTCGCCGACAAGTCAGTACTTGCCCTAATACCGCTATCAGAAAAAACCTCTAATTCCTTCTTTCTTTGCTTTCTAGAATAGTAGTGATGGGTGATTATGTCTATCCCTAATCTTTAAATATCTTTGATTATCCTTTTCTGTACATAATTATGGTATATTTCCTACTGGCCGCTGCCGTTCGACTTCTCGCCTGCTCGCAGCGGCTGCTAGTCAGTCAACAAGTCAGTATCTGCCCTAACACCGCTATTAGCAAAACCTCCAACTCCTTTCTACGCTTTCTAGAGTAGTAGCGATGGGTGGTCCTTAATTTTAAACTATCTTTAATAACTTATTCTTTTCTGTACATAATTATGTCATTTATTTCGTTTTTGCGGTTGCCGTTATTTAATTGTACATAAAAATATATCAAGGCTGCAGCAGCCTAATGTTAAATGGTGCGGAATGAAAATTCTGAAAGTCGTGGGTTTGAATCCGCCATTCGACTACTGTCGCAAACCACTCCATTACAAGTATTTTAATCTTACTCGGGATAGTTAACGACAATATTAATTGTTAATAATGTGGTGGTGGCCAAATTTTTGCATGCAATCCTGATTTTTGTTCTCCCTAGTTGAGGAAAAACAAAAAAGAACAAGACAAGAAAAGCGAAAAGAATAAGCAACGGATGCAATTAACTATAACTCTCTTTTTGATCTTTTGAGCTAAGATCCTTTTTTGAACCTCTGAGCTAGCTAACTCAAACCAAGTTTGAAATGTGTAAATACAATCGAGTGTTGGTATTTCCACATTCTCACCGGTGAAGGAAAACATCATAAGGAAACCTTCATCCTGCATGTTTGAGAAATAAAATATTTTGAGGACATGTGAAGTGGCCTGCACCCGGCACCGGAACTGAAAAAGGTTTACTTTTGCCTTTTAACTTTACGTTTTAATTTTCCGATTATAATGTCACCCACATTAGTTCTTCAAGGCAAGAGTGAATAGGCATTCCATCTTAGTCCTCAGGGGTGACAACCCATCTGCGTATTGATTCCTACTCAAGGATAAATGTAGATGTCTATGGGCCACAGCATCCACTTACCATCAGGTGGACTGTGCGCTAGTTTGTCAACCTTATTCTATTTAAAAAAAAGCCTTTTGTTAAGCGCTTTACCATCTCTGATGGCACTACAACTTACCATCAGGTGGGTTAATCGTCTAGCAATGGCTTATAATAGTAAAAAGCTTTATGTTAAGACTATTTAAAATTATAGGATATCCTTTATTGATATTCCATAACAGTTACGTCACAAAGGCGTCGATAAAAACATGTCAACAAGTCTCATGTCTTATGCCCTTCTCGGAATCGATATCGTCTCCGCGCCTACTCAGAATCCTGCGATCTTCAACTCATACCACACTTATACCGAAGTCGTATTGTTATAGCATTTCATAACGTTTTTTAGGGTTCCATCAAAACTTTGCGCGCTTGATCGGTATGTGTGAATGTATGTTTGATTGGCGATACTGTCGAGAAATTTTAATATATCTCATTTTAGGAAAAAAAGGCTGTAATCAGAAAATTTCTCCATTTTGACGTACTCGTAGCAATGTTTACTTCGCAGGCCGTGTTCTAGAAAACTGTAAAGGATACATTTAATATCTATATCATTATTTAGATTTTTTTGCATTGTTTATGTTTTAATTCAGATTTACTAACGTTATAAAGTATTGAAATTTGAAACCTAAAACTCGATCAAAAAGTTTAGGAGATAGGCCACATAAAATTTACAAAATCATTCATCATCAAATAATAGACTGTTAGAACATAATCCTTAGGCACTACTTTATGTAAAGTCAACTTATAGCTTAAGAAATCGTGTAGCGATATCTTAAAATTCTAACAGTTATTGAAATTTAAAACTATCCTTATTTCAATAGAGAAGATTTGGTAATGTTAAGGTCATGTGCTATCCCAGACTATCTGGAACATCAAGCTGTGTTTCCCTTTGTACTCTCACCCTGAAAGCAAAGCACTTGATTCATTGAGAAAGTAAAATGAATGAAGACGCGATAAAATCTGTAAACAAAGTTTTATTCTATTTGGAGCATTCGCAATAACTTTGTAACCGGTAGAAAAATAAAAAACCTATTTTAAGTGTTATATTTTTTTGTTACAACTATGTGCGTGGTTTTTTCAATTACTCACTATGAATTCACACAAAGAAATGTAACCAACCTTGCGTGATGTCACGACTAGATAACTACACTGGTATTAGAATATCAAGGGTAAATTTATTTCTGTTTATTACAAATCTCAATCGTAGGTCCATATTTGTTTCTCGCATTACATATATGAATAAATAAATAATGTATATGTAGTAATATCTTTACAACATATTGCTGAGACTTAATTATATATAATTAATAATTATACTTAATTATTACTTGTTATTTACAACATTCAAGCTGAAATTGCGTCATGATTATTTTATTTATATAAAACAAAATTTCATAAGAAATTGAATTAAAACACTGACTTCATTATGACTGAAGATTCTATATTATTGAGTAGGGGATAACAGGAATATGTAAGAGCTTTTTCTCTAAACGCTAACATAGACTGCACGCGGTTCACCTTGCTTATTGAGATATTGAGAGACGTTGCCCACGCGGCCGACTGATCGCGCAAAACTTATCCATAATTCATATCCATGAAGCCCTAATTTTACTGACTGTTAATGCTGCTCTCGAAAAGAATTACCACGTTATCGCCTCTGCAAACAATACCCATGTGACTAGTACAAAATGCGCTATGGTATGGACAAATCCAGAAAACGTATACACTAGGGGGTATATTTCTGGTTCGATAATAATAGAGAACCAAAAACGTTACAAACCTTTATAATTTCTTCGTAGAAATCGGAAGAGGTTTTGTATTTTGCACGTATGAAGATGTAAACAAACCTCTTTCATTAAAATGTTTGTTGCTATTTACTCGTATATCATTAGATGTTGACATTTCAAAAAATTAATTCCCGCCATTTTCTACATTTTTCACTTGGTAATTTAGTTGAACTATAGAATATATTTTATAATCATCACAAAAAAAAAGTTTGCCATTTATGAACGTAATGCGGCGTCGGTGAGAGGATCGCAAAGCTTGTTGAAGTATTTTATGTCGTCTGGATTAAAGTGGCATCGTACGTAGAGCATGAAACTTTTTACTTTTTACCTTCGGCCAAAACTAGGTTTACTTTTCGTAGATATTTGTTTATTATTTTATTTCGTATAAGTACTGCAAAAAATGGAGATAAAGCAATCCTTAGGTCAACTGGTTTGTTTACTTCGGAACTCTAAGCGGCATAAAACAAGAAAGAACTTTCAATAAATAAATAAATTAATTTGCAATAAAGAAATTAATTAATATGCAATAAAGAAATTAATTAATTTGCAACCTTCCGCTAACTAAATACAATGATGTGTCTTACCTGGATTGAAGATTTTCGATATAATATCTATTTGTCCCCATTTTCATATACTTTGAACAAAACATAAAAAAATGCTTTTTATGCAAATGAGCCCAGAAAGTTAAAATATACTTGACCTCTATTTATTTTGTTAACAGGGAGTCCAGCAAAATGGAAGAGGCTAAGATCGCCAAAACGTGCATGCCTGAACCTCTCTGCTGCCCTGGTGACCAACGTCAACTGCTAGAGGGCATTGGAGTCATGCAGCCTCTCACTATTAAGACGGAGCAGGCGAAGAGCACCTGCAACACATGCCTTACAAATTCACCAAAAAAGGTTTGTCATTAATTTTGCTACTCATTATGAGATAGACTCGGTAGTGTGTCAGGCACCAACAATTTATTTCTCTCTTTTTTTCATTCATTACCGCCTCTCCAGCGGGCTACTGCTGAACAAGGTCGATATTCCTACATAGATTGCCTCTTAATTTGCTACAGTTGCTACGAATGGCTATGCACCTGTTTACTTTAAGAGAATCCATCATTTCATGTCGATAACTGAAGCAAATTATTAGGTGAAATGTCATGTTAGGCACCAACTTTTTATGTCTTTATGTCGCCAAGCAAAAGGGCGGAAGGGCGACTGATGTGTTAAAAAAAATATTTCATTCTATTTTAAGAGGACTTTAGATAAAATAGTTCATTTTAATTATGTGAATGACATTCAAATTATCTCTGTTATGCAGAAGACTGATTGTTATCCATAAAAGCAATTTATAACTCTTAAGGACTTACAAAAGAAAAAAGTTTTTAGCCTTTCACTTTACGAAAAGTTAATGTATGTACACAAAAATATTAGTTAAGAGCACAAGCTAGAAATACCAGTTACTCGATTCTAATAAGCAATGTATACGCTTTTACAACAGTTCCAGAAAACATGGATCTCAAAAGTTATCTTTTTCAAAAAGTTGATTTTTTTTAGTAGGCAATGTTATTAAAGAATACATGATTGATATTAACCCTTGGGAATGAAGTAATCGCTATCAAGCTGTGGCATAACCTTTTTATATTGAATTGTACATGTTATATTGTAAATTAACATTTATTAAGTTCCGCTACCTTTCTTATCTGGTTTTACCAACCAAAACGCACGAGCGATACGAGTACATCAGGCGTAGGTAGAACAAGTGAGTTTCTGTATTATTGTTCATAATTTGGTTAATTAACGTGTTAATATAAATGAAACAACTTGCTGCCTCACAGTTATAACTTATATTTTACAGAATACATCAAAATTACAAAGTACAGACCACACAACAGTGTAGACAGCAAATAATTTTATGTTGCATTACAGTGTAGAAAGTGTACGCTCTATCGCACTGTAATAATGGCTATGTCACTAGAATATCTCCACAGTAGTAGTTGGTAACGTCTGACAAAACTTTATCGTTATAAATAAAATCGGCCAAGAGGATTCGTAATACTAAACGTTTAGCACTGAGTGGAAGGAGCTTCAAGTGATTGAGGTCACCCGGAGTAGCTTAATGTATTAGTAATATTCACAGAGTAAACACGTACAAAATTATAACAAATATTTAATATTATTGTTATATTTTTATATAATATATACATTCATTATCTGTGTCAATTAGTGATATACTTGTACATGGTTTAAAATTGTGGTTCAAAAAGGCAGGTTCTTGATTAAAACTACTTTTACGGATTTTATCGCGTTTATTTTACTATTATTTTTAATTCCCGACGTTTCGGGCACTTTCCAGCACCCATGGTCACGGGGGACTGAGATGACTGACGTCCCGATGTCATTGTTAAACCCGGAGTACCTTCAGCTTTTTTAATTGTTTATGGTCCGATCTATGCAAAATGAACTGACTATGTCCTGAGGTCTTGCAGTGGTATGCTTGGGTTTAGTTTTAATTTTATTGATTATAGGATCCCAAGCAGGTGGTAGTACCCAGCCTCCTTCTCTATTGAAATAAGGATGTTTTTTAATTTCAATAGCCTCACGTATCATCCTTGGTAGGAATCGGTGTTCTTTCGCGATGATTTGTGGTCTGTCAAATCTGATGTAATGGTTGGGGCCGTCTAGGATATGATCGCAAACTGTAGACTTCCCGGAACGTTGATGCTTCACATCAGCTATATGTTCTTTTACGCGGGTTCTAATTGATCTTTTTGTTTGTCCTATATAAGAGAGACCACATTCACAATCAAGCTTGTACACTCCTGCATCTTGTAGAGGAATATGACACTTGACTGATGGTAGGAACGGACTAATCTTCTTCGGCGGCTTGTAGAATGTTCTAATAGAAGCTCGCTTCAAGATGTAGCCAATCTTGTCTGTGACACCTCTGACATATGGTAGTACAGCAGGCACACGCTCGACTGTGGCCGGCTTCACTCGGTCACTGTGACGTAGGCGCGGGAACCGAAGCTTGTTGTCGTGAAGAACTTGCTTGACGTGCTGAAGCTCGGCGGCCAGGTGTTTGCTGTCACAGATTCCTCGTGCTCTCTGTAACAAAGAGAGCAGAACAGAGCGAGGAAAGGAGGCAGAGACGTAGTGTGGCCACAATACTCGTTATGCCGCACATCATGCTCCTCGTCATGCCCATCGCTCCCTGTCTTGTCAGTTTTTGGGCGCGAGTCAAAGGACTGGCAATTAAACGCGAGTCGAATCGAGCACTCGCTACGGAACCACGTCTCGTGTCAAATGCCAGTGCCAGTTGTCACTTAACAAAGGCCTTTTGTGTTTGGGCATACGCCATGTTCAAACAACAATAATTCTTAAAGTAATAAACATACAGCTGTAAACTTTATGTTGCATTGTAGCTTAACTCAAAATCTGTCGATCTAGTATAAAAATAAGAAGGGTAAACGGGGTTGTTTTTGCAGTAATTTACAATAATTTGCCGATTAGCATATTTTTTTGATATTTATTTGAAGTTAAATTTTTTTTCTTCAAAGTTGGTACAAGTATAGGTCAACAAAAATTTTGATAATTTAAACGATAAACAATATTATTGGCCTCCGAATGAGTTAATTTTTATCTCAGTAAGACTAAAACTTTCAGAGATATGACTTTTTTCGTAAACGCGTAGAGAATATCTCAAGAGAAAAACAAAATGGCTGCCAAATAGAGGGGGAGGGGATTAGACCTCAGTGTGTAGTGTATGTTTATATTAAAATAGCTGTATTATAAGTACCTAAAATATCGCTAGTCCGTGACCGGACACACTGTATATAAATAATATACCTATCGTTATCATTCAGTGACAGTTGCAAACGCGAGCAACCTAGTGCGGTGCGTCGCGATTAATTGCGCGAGTAGAGCATTGTGTGGACAGACAGGGCAACATCGCGGCAGTACGAAGAGCAGAGCGATGAGCAGCGCGAGGAGCATAGTGTGGTCGAACCATAATGTGTAGAGCCTTGCTGCAGTTATATTTAGTAGTATAGTTGTAGCACGAATGGGTCGGCACCACCGGGGAAGGACCACGCTCTCACACAATACCAGCGTGAAATAGTAGCTTTATGCTGCTGTGTTTCGTATGGTGAATGTAGAGAACCGGAAACCTTTTTACTGGTAACGAGGTATTCCATCTTAGTCCTCAGGGGTGACAACGCATCCTCATTTTGATTCATAATCGAGGATAGATGTAGATGTCTGAGGGCCACAGCAACCACTTACCATCAGGTGGACTGTGTGCTCGTTTGTCACCCTATCTTGTAAAAAAATTCAACGGATGAAGCTGGTGCGATTGACATCCGTTTTGAGCAACTCGGCAAACTGAACTAATTCACCGTCTATGCTGTATTCCAGACCATTTGCATAGGGACTGACCACGATTGAAGTTTCTTTCAAAATCTTTTCGGCTGTAATATATTGACATGATAATGCGGTTCAAAAATTTCTTCGCTTGTGTGCCCACTGTGCAGTTCAGGGCACGTTCGCGCTGGCGATCATTGAATACGCGGGGCACCCCCATTTGTCAAGCCTTTTTACCTTGCCAATTTGACGCAAATGGATCAACATTGTTTGATTCTATCGTCGAAAGCTACTGCAAATTCGGTCGTAGATTGAGTATCTATCACACCTTGTTAAAATGTTTCAAAAACATTTTAACAAGGTGTGATAGATACTCAATCTACGACCAGTCAGATTTTGGTATGATTTCATGCGTTTATCTAAAGCAGATAGCAAGTTATCAATAATAACAACAAGCACTTCAATTTCAAACTGTTTACCAGGTGTTTCTGTTTCAAGAAATCGGTCAAGTGCACTAGAACCGCTAAATTGGTCGTGCTCTGTGTTTCGCTTGCGTCGTCTTAAAGTTTGTTGCTGATATTTATGACAGCCTGTCAGATCTTTCGCTTTTGCTTCAATATCTGAAAATTTTTATCGCATTGTTTGGACATATCCATATAATAACTATAGGTCAGCCGATTGGGATGGGATGCGGTCTTTCTTTGCATCCTACCCTTGGGGGCGGGTTTGCTTCTCGCCGGATGATCCCAACGTTGTTGCGGATTCTGTCGCTGATGTGGTACTTCAGGGTATGGAACTTTTTATTCCTTCCTCTGTGGTGCCCATTGGAGGCAAATCTCAGCCATGGTTTGGTCGCTCCTGTAAAATAGCATCATGCTATAAGCAGGAGTGCTACCAAGCCTGGGCTGACGCATCAGCGTACAGGGATGTAAACACCAGCGCTCTAAAAAAGAAGTATAATTCCGCCTCTAGGTCCTTCAAAAGAGTCATTGCCAAGGCAAAGTCAGAGCACATAGGCAGAATTGGCGAGAGACTAGTTCGTCTTCCTTCTGGAACCCGTGCATTCTGGTCTCTCGCCAAGGCTGTCCAGGGGAATTTCTGTCAGCCATCTCTTCCATCTCTGCACAGGGAGGACGACTCACTGGCCCACACCGCAAAGGAGAAAGCCGATCTTCTAGGCTCTTTCTTTGCGTCTAACTCGACTCTCGATGACGGGGGGAGTACGCCGCCGACCATCCCGCGGTGTGAGTGCTCCATGCCGGAAGTGCACTTCACTCAGCGCTCGGTTCGCAAAGCACTCCTCTCCCTGGACATCCATAAGTCGAGTGGGCCTGATGGAATCCCCCCAATTGTGCTGAGGACGTGTGCTCCAGAGTTGGCACCGGTTTTAACGCGTCTTTTCCGGTACTCCTACTCCCTAGGCGTAGTCCCAAAATCATGGAAGACGGCTTTCGTCCACCCGATCCCTAAAAAAGGCGACCGCTCAGACCCGTCCAACTACCGGCCTATCGCCATCACCTCCTTGTTCTCCAAAACAATGGAGTCCATTG